CGAGTATGGACGTTAGCATGAGGAGTGCATTGGTAAGACGGCCGCGGAGGAAACATGTTAGCGGGTGGGGGACGCATTGCTTCCATTTGAGCAAGAGTTCTATTAGACGGCGGGAAAATCGGCATATTCGGCCTAATTGCCTCGATATGAGCGCTGGGGGACAGTTGGAAACACGCCACGTTTGGAGTCGGGGTGTCTGGGGCACTGTTAGCCGATTGTGGGGAAATAGATTTTAGCCTGGAGCTAGATTTACCCGGTGTCCGAATGGCTGAGACAGCAAATGGATGCGCCTTTGACATAGACACACGTTTAGGCTTGTTAGGGGTTGCTGGAGGAGTCGGTAGAGGCGTGTTTTTACCAGGCGTGTTGATGTGTTTAAAGATTTTGGCATCAAGAGCAGTCAAATTCCCTACGGAATTGACTATGCCGTGACGTGCGGAGGCCGCAGATGATGCTGTAGAAGACTTATTCAAACTGGCAATAGGTGTCCTAATCTCGGTGTTGGTTTATGGCAATTTCAATTTGTTCAGCCTTCGCTGCAATGGTGTGAGGTCTGGCGAAACGGAGCAGTGCCATTTACGGCAGAATTCTCTAGTTATCTCCCTCCTCGACAAGATAAAGTCGACTTCTATTAAGGAGAAACCGATAACTAATATTGGCGCATTACGACTGAGCGAACGCAGTCGTTTAGCTTATGCGACACTAAAATCCAAGCCACAACTTTGCAGGATCAAATGCGCTCTCTCTATAGCAGTAAAGTGAGACGGGATGTTTCGCAGTAAAAAATTGTGTTTGCGTTTTATTCTCTTCTCAGTTTCAGAACTTATTACTCCAATAACTTTAAACGCCTGTTCAATGACTTTTTCAGAAGTGCTGCTTATGTCGCCGTATATCAACTGATCGAGTATTTCGTCGGCTGATGGCCTGCTACGACTAGCAGGGGCGTAGTTTTGGACGATTAAGGGGTCAAGAGGTTTTACTTGGACTAAAGGGATTTTTGAGTTAACCATATCTGTAGAAGGCGACGAACATATGCTGGCCCCTGCAGTGTCTCCGGCCACGATTCTAGCACCCAGAGACGGTGGAGAGGCCGCAAGCTTTCGTATTTTAGCGCATGCTCTGCTGGACATTACAGACTAGATAAGTTTTCCGTTGCAGTACAAGGAACAATACGTTTTAAACGTACAGAAAGACGTACTGAATAGCAAATACCGCTGTTATTTTACTACAAAAACTAGAAAGAGATAGCCTGACACGGAGTCACTAAAGAGGCACGCAACAAAATACGGCTACTTTGCCAGACTGCCTAAAAAAACTGGAAAAAATTATACCCAGTAGTGAAAGACGACTTTTAAAAAGGACTCAAGTAAGAAACCGGCGTTAATTGCTTAAAAATATCAAACTATAGGCAAAGTTTTACTGGTCTTTGAAATTGAGCTGCTCGCCTTGAACTTGTCAATGTCTTCATGTTCTATACATGTCCTAATTGCGATCGCACTTTCGCTGGTCGGTCACATGCGAATCCATCGCACAGCGACTGACGATCCACTGCCTGGGGCGCATGCCTACACCCTCCGCAACCGCCCCCACTGTCCAAGTTGCCCACACACATTCATACACCACATGGGCCTATTTGGCCACATGCGTTTAAATGAGAGTCGGTGTGGCCGCAGCCGCCACACACCAAGGACATCCAGCACACCCACTATGCCTAGTCCCACACAAACTCCGTCGCTTAGCGCGCCCACCGCCATCAGCTCCACCATTACCAACACCGAAGCTGATGCTGGCACTGCGGCTTCTCATTTCCATACGGTCACCATTCATTCACCTCACGCATCAGCCTGGCCGGTCACTTGCGGATCCGCCGAACAGACACTGGCGAACCAGTGCCTGGGGCACAAACCTACACTCGCATTATCCGCCCCCACTGCCCACATCGCATGTCCACATTTATTCGCCGCATGGGTCTACTAGGCCACATGCGCGTCCACGAAAACCTGATGTAGACAACCGCCGGCTAAATCCCACCATCACATACTGCATCAACTGCGTCCACCGCGCACCAAATTAACCGACCGCAAGCACCCAAATGCCATCTGTCATGCAGTTGGGAAGTGTGCGTCTCGGCTTCGTCTCCATGCGGACCCTATCCTGCATGTGTTGTCGGCGAATGAGACGAAGACGTTGCGTCGATCACCGTGACTCGGAAGGCAGCCGACTGACTCCCCAACTCAGTCCATGCACTCTGCCCCGTTGTCATGTGTGTTGTGTTGAGTGGCGGACTGGTGGGCTGAGAGCCAGGCTGTCACGGTCCCCTCTCAAGCGATCCCCGACACTGTTCTGCATGTAAGGAGAGTTTTGTGTGTGTGTGTGTGTGCTTTATGGGTCGTGTCTTTCTGTCGACGACTGTTTGGTCACCCAAACTTGAAGGGGTGGCGGCCAAGGTTAAATGCAGGGCTACGTGTCGCCCTTCTAGGTCAAAGGGCCTGAAAACGTGTGCTATGCCGGTATCAACAAACCATGGCCCTCGCAGCCTGGTATGCGCTGACAGTTCCCTGTGGACAGATGCGCGTGTCCTCCCGATGGGTATACAGATGGTGGGCATGGCTGCCCAGTTATCATCGTCCTTCTGACTGCAGTTGGATAATATTGTTGTTTTTGGTGAAAAATCCTGGTCAAATGTATGTTGTGAACCAGGCGGTGTGGTGGCGCACCTAGGTGTGGGTCCGGTCGTGCCAGCCACACACGCCCTCCACGTCTGCGGTCTTCTTGACTCTGTCTAGACTTCGTGCCCAGGTGGGGGGGTGGGGGTGGGGAAGCGGGAGTGCGGTAGATGCTGCGCAAGTTTACTATCGTTAAAAACTTATCCATGCGCAAGCCCCTGTGCCTGCCGCACCTAGCTCTGTAGCACACGGTGGACATCGTCGGAATCGACGGTCGAACTGTAAGGCAAAAAACGGTATTCGAGGTCGGCTTGTGGCATGGCGACCGAGGTTGCTACAGTTTATTACTGGTGTGTTAAAGTCACTCGTAATCATAACATAAAGTCAACTGGAGAATTTCTCCAAATGCTCCAGTGGATGTGTGTCGGCCATTCTGTGTGTCCCCGTGGTTTGTAGGCGGTGAATACCTCGAAACACAAAGAACGAGTAGCCTTGAGCTTTAGCCAGGTAGCTTCCCTGCTGCACGCGTGCTTATTGAACTTTCCTGACGTCAATAGGATTTCTTTTGCCCTTACAGTCATTCCAACATCATGTCGGTCTTCGCTGTCCCTCTGATATGCCCGTTGTGTATCAAACACTGCTTGACTGTCACGAACTATACTTGACGATTGGATTATGGCCATTGCTATCAAGTCCGTAGACAGTCATGACATATTCTAAGTTCATCAAGTTTGGATTCCAAGCTTTAGGCATTTGTATACAAACACCTCAGTATCGATCCAACCGAATTTCTTACTGCGCTTGTCACGGTTATAAGCCTTGCTGCGTCCGTTTTGATGCCATTTTCGTAGAACTGTCCCATTTCTTGATACGTCTCATCAAGTGCGGTTTTTAGACCAGATCGCTAAGCGATAAATGTTTGATTCTATCGTCACGTTGGCGGCTTGTTTCACAACGGTGTCTGAGTTAGTTGAAAAACTATCGTGGTCCTTAATATTATTGCCTGCATCTGAAGGACTTTCCCCGCTGCTATCCAGATTGTGTCCGCTATCCCTCAGTCTTGATTTTAACTCCCAAATAAGTCTCCGACCTTTTAAACGTCCCGCTAGAGAGTAGTCAGGTTGACAAATTCTCTTTATGAGAGTTTTCTAGGCAGACACTTCTGAATAAGACCGACTTGATTCACAATTTTCTTTCCAGCATATTTTGAGTGGTCGCAGTCGAAGTTTCCCTGTCTCGCTCACATCACTTTTACAGACCGGGAATGCTCTCAAAACACTTAATTTCGCGTCAGGGTGGAATAACAGGTTTATTTGGGCGTGGAAAAAACGAGTTCGCTGGGGCAGGATTATTAAGTCTACTTGAATTTTTTCAGGTAAGTCCTGAAAAATTAATCCTCCTGATATTCTCTGATTTGGTTTTCAGGAGAATTCTCCGTATGAAAACGAGGATTATTTGTACAGTCCGCTTCTGAATTTCGTGTAGCTGTTTTATACTAAGTGTCGCGATAGATCCACCAGGGTTATTTTCACCTCAGGCTGCTCTCGTGGCGTTTTCTCATTATCCAATCACAAGTTCCCGTTTTCGTGCCAATTTGAGTGCTTTATAGAACAGTCTGAGTAGTTGAAAGGACACGTTGGCAACAGCAGGCCTGGCCAGCCAGTTATATTACCCTTTGCTACAAAAGGACGTTCGTCATTTACACCTAGGAGCGCAGTCGAGGTAGCTCCTGCGACATTATTAACCACGACAGATAATATATTTGTGCCATCGAGCAGGTTATCTTCTATAGGAATCTGATCAGTCTCTATCAGTGGATTCGTTAACGTCATCTTACAGTCACTGGAACTCGTGTCTGTACCTACAGGACCATTGCCTGTACTTTGCTTTGCTCCTGAGCGTCTTCAAATCTGCAAACTCGTTTTAGATTTTGTTGACTTTGGGCAGAATAGACGCACATCCTCGTATCCATGTCTTTAGCGACAAGTATGGTTTTTTGCTGGCTGCCGGTCGCCGGCTAAAGCTGTAAAGAGACTGCGCGCAAATCTTGGGTTCGGAGTTAATACCTATAGGTTTTACTTCAAGCGAATTGTCAATGTTGGCCGTGCTACTGCCGTTGAATTAGTGAAAGTCCCTATAAGCTGGACTGAGAACATAGACATACCCTTGGTTTCGCGACAGAAAAACAGCATAATATACAGGAGTTTGAATCGTGCATCTATAACCATGAAATTTTGCCACTTGAAATAAAAGTGACCTAAATATCTTGGCCTCGCATCGGCTACTAAAACGATGTCCATTATTTAAAAATGTCTTTCAGTCTACTTAGTTGCGATGTCCTACTCGTTCCTCTTTCGCTATGTACTAATTGGCGATTCGGGTTCGTTCATTTAATTTGCCTTACCTGTCTGTAGCCGCTGGTAAATCTTGTATTCTACTCCAACTTACGGAGAAAAAGTTCGAGCACCTGTTCAACTTGACGATAGGTGTGGAATTTGGTTGCTGCCATGTAACTGTCGGGGAAATTCCAATTAAAATACAGGTCTGGGATACGGTGAGTGTTCACATTTTCATGTTCAATGCTCAGGTTTAATCGACCCGCCATACGGCATACGTCATATCTCTATACAAACATACGACGCAAACTCGCACTTACTACCCTAACTCTGAAGCCGGATGGCCCACTACTATGTTTAAGTTGATTCGATGGGACGATGTTTTAAGTATTTCCTAAATATGGTTGGCCTGGGCTCACTTAAGTGAGTAAGTTTACACCGGTGTCACAATCGCATGCCTAGTTCTTGCACACGTTCAAATGGACAGATGGAACAAAGCTATCGTTTTATGTCTGTATTTCCGAACCAAGATTTCTCTTAGTATCTGGCTTATTCGGGACACACGGCCACACTTAACGAAAATACTACCATCGTTTTCAAAGACAGTTGGTTCTGCCTCGTTTGCTCCCATTGTTGGCACCTTGATTAAAATAAGCTTTAGAGGTATGGATGCGCCTTTTATTTGTCCTGCAAACTAGCGTCTTGTTGTTACCGTTTCGTTCAACAACTTTCTTTGTTTTTCTTAGCCTACAATATCCCATTTGAAAATAAGTAAGATTCTTTGGGAAGGGAAAAACCTTTAATGCGTAAATTTTCGAGCCTGGTTCCCCAGCTCGTCATCAGACTTTTGGGTTATGTGCAAAAACATTTGACTATTTAACCCTGTTGAACAAGTTATTCTGTGGTTGGCCGAAGCCCGCGCCAATGTGCGTCAATAGTTTTTCGTCATCCAATTTCTAGTATATGCCAAGGTTTCTGCACAAAACTTCAAGTCAGAGTTTTTATTGTAAACTTTTTGTGTGTTGCAGCATTTTTAGTCCTGAAATGCCGAAGCTGGCCGGTACGTGTTCCACAAGCATCCGGGTGCAGTCCATACCTTATGCACTTAATCTCATAGATTCCTAGTACCAGATAAATTACTACGTGCAATTGAAATTTATTTGCTACCTGTCGTAGGTGACGTGACTCGCGAAACGTCGCACAGTTTTTATGAGTGTTCCTGTAATGCTAATAGCAGTCAACTCGCACCTTCAAAAAGTTGTTAGTGAAACGACCACTCCCCAAATCAAGACGTAGGTTGATTTATACGTTATTACTTATCAACTGTGACGTTATTTTCTATGAAAAGCCAATCTGAATGCGCATGTATTAAATATTGCCTATATAAGGCAAATGTTGCGTAGAATAAGGAAAGCAAGCGGGTTAGATGGGGGAAGTAATGGAAACTAATTAGAACTGCAAAATATCGTTACCCACTTGCTCCCCTTTTGCCTCTACGACATTAAGAAGTCTGACAGAAATGGAAACGATAAGGTCGTCCATGGTGGATTGCTCTCTGTAGTTATTTAGCACAAAATCAAGTACTGCTATTTTGACGTTTTTTTGTGTGTGCGCCGACTTATTTTGATTAGCAAGATATGATTTCCAATGGGGTTACGTCCTGATCTATTGGGATAAATGAAAGTACTTCGCTGGCCGAAGGCGGAGAGGCCAATTGTGGTCTAGAAGACTAGAATATAGTCGTTACCGTTGCTAGAATTGTGCGCCCTCTTGAGCTGTGGACAAAAAACTGTCCTACAGCACCATAGCGTCCAGTCGCCGGCGGTAAGTGTTATTGAAACCGAAGGCATCCTTTACGTCGACGAACACCCTGTTGTTGGTAATATCTATAGTTAGCCTTCAGGTTGGTCGTTCAGGAAATCCGATGGTCATTCAAATCATCACGTGTCGGCAGTTCTTGAAAGTTGTCGTTGGCGCATTGTGTTATTGCAGATATTTTACCATACCTAACTTTCTGGTCTGACTCCGATATTTTCTGCAAGCAAGACCCCACAGAAGGGCATTCTTCTCCAGAATGAAGTTTTGTGATTGATGTGTCCGTTAGCAAATAAAAGCGTTCTCCAGTCGGTTTGCTGCTTCGAAAATGACGTCGCCATAGTTCCTTGCTGATGAGAACGAAACTCCTCAGTCCTTTTCCCATTAACGCCCTAGTGGAATACTGATAAATTCCCCCTTTGAAATCTTAGCGGGTGTATAATTATACCCGTTAGCATCTGACGAATAAGGTAATCGTCTTGCTTGCTCGTCGACTGTTTTCGCCTACCCCGCTTTTTTCAGGCACCATTGTATTACTGATTCGCCATAATATGACCTTACTATTATTTAAAATGCTTGTTAACCACTCAAGTGGCTAATAAAAATTGCCTTGACATCTATGTTGCACAGCACAGCAGCAAAAAGTGGCAGTATACGTCCTGTAATTCTTGGTGCCGTAAGGCAACCGTTAAACAAGTTAAGTACTGCGTACCTCGGCAAAGAATACCACCAATTTTCAAATAAGTGTTTCGAAAGCTGAATCAGTTCCTCATTTCTTGAAAAAGTGTAGTGTGAATTTTCTTCGCGCATAATAGTGCTCCTTTAAGAAAAATGTGTACAAGGAAGCGACTTTTTCTGTAACACCCAGTAAGGGAGATTTGTTTGGGTATCAAGAGATGTCCGCTTTCAGCTACAAGTGTCAAGTTTCCCTTTTATAAAAGATCTGTAAGCAAGATTCTTCAAAAAAGGGCGTTTCACGTCCCGAAATAAGTTAGTAAACAGGAATTATAGCACCAACTATGCTTCTAACCGCTCATTTGGATTTCGCTTACGACATTTATGAGTTCAGTCATCCGTAAAATACTCCTTTCGCACAGCACCCGCCTTCATGAACAAGTGGGGCAGTCTAATTGTGACTCAGACCAGATGCCCATAAAACTGCCGTCAGACTCGACTGTGAAAGTCCACGCTGAGAATTGGCGTTCAATCAACGCTGATTGTGTTTTAACTCTACCATTATTAGCGGCAATGCCTATTTCCTAAAAAGCCGTAGTGTGTGCTGACATACTCAAATTGGATGTCTCGTATACTTGGAATCTGTCGTACTAGAGATTGCCTATTGAAATCTCCGGCCCATTAATCTTAAGGGATCCCCGAAATTCGGAGGTCTAAACCTTGTGTTAGTCGGGTGATAATGCGACACTTTTGCAACTTACGCAACTCTTCAGTGAGATGCGTGCAGAATGCCTGAATATCGGACGACTTGCCAATCTCACCGTTCATTCTAATGGCGAAAACGTAACCAGCAAAATGCTTCATTTTCTGGCCAAAAATAAACCGCAGACCATTTCTAGTCCCACGATGAACTGGTAGGCCATCCATAACTATGTTATTGACCATCTTTTCTGTTAAGAGAATTAAATTCAAAGCGACATTCCCGAATGGCCAAGCATAAGGGGGGCGCGTCTGTGGTAGTCCTTGTCTTCAACTATATTCGTGCATCTAATAAGAGGTCTGGTTCAGTCGCGTTGATAACTTGCAAACAAATTCTCTGTTGTTTATGATGCCCATAGTCTCCACGCCCATCTTATAGGAAGAAAATTGTGTCTAAAGTGGCGGCAACAGTCGTTTGCACACCTTAGAGTTCTCCCTTATTGCCACTCGATGAAGGCGAACCATAAAGCGCCTTTTTATTCACGTTGGTTAGAAATTTATCCCAAGTATACTGTACTTCACCTCCCGGCATGTGAATTCGGCAAACTTCCCTTTGTCTACACTTTTCCCGTCCTCCAGTCTTATTCTCTTGTACTGTGTAAGTTGCGTTGAGTTGAGTCTACAGTCGTCTTGTTCGTAGGCGGGACTTTTTGCTGCCATTTTCGCATCATTTTTAGTCATGACTCGGGATTGGCAGGGCTTTACACCAAGCTCCCGCCATATTCTGCCATTTATTCAGATTCTTGTTAATTTGCATTTTTGTTTTCTCACTCATAGCTTCCCAAGTAACCTTTTTAGGCAGGTCAGGAGAATTTCCGCTCGCTCACTCGTTCGTACTATCGAGGGGCTGCTGGTCTGCTTCTAGTTTATGACATCACAAGGTGCGTTTTCAGTGTCACTCTTTTCGAATATTTGATCCGTTTCGAGTTGCCTTTCACTCCTTTACATCTCTCTACGAAACTAAGTGTCTAATTTCTTAACGGAAAGGGTGATATAATCGGCACCCTCCTGTCGTCGATGACTACTTCAATTATCATTGCATTGCTACTTCATACTGGATCGAAATCTTGAACACCGGGCTTTCCACTCGTCCTAAAAGATTCTAAGACCCTCTAAGACCGTCCACGAAAGACGATTGAGATTATGTCTGGTTTCGGTCATCCAGCTCACGAGATAAGTTTTGCTGTCCTAGATCCATCGCGGCTGTCTCATTGGAGACAGTAATGAGATCATCTGTAACTTAGCTCGCCAAAGTCTGTGCGAAGGTGTCCCAGATGCCTTCGGTATTCGGACTTCGGCCTTGGAAAAGGTGGGTCGGGCTTGCGAAATGTGCAGTCTCAGGTGGTCGTCGGTAGGAGGATCCTGCGCAAGCGATCGCCCCGATCAAACAGGACTGCGACCGTTCCAAATAAAGGTACTATTCGGTATGCAGCTGAACATTGGACAATCGGAACGATTGATCTGCGACTGTACAGCGCAGGCAGTTTCCCAATCCTCCTGAATAGCGACGTGTTTGAGGCAGTTTGAGGCCGTAGCTGCGCTGTGCCGCGCCCATGTCAGGAGAAAATACTGATTCTGCCTAATGTTCTATCGGTTATGGAGGCCTCTCTTACCTCACCGTGAAGTACAAAAGGCAGTTTTCGAGATAAGAAGCTACGGTCAGGGCGGTTCTGCTTTGCTGCCGTGAAAAGTGGCTTCCATACTTGTCTGACTTCGGTTTGGGACTACTGCGGCCTTGCCTGACCGACCGAACAATGTCAAAATCTGCGCTAACACCCCCGATGAGAGACGCTTGCTAGTGGTGATATAACAATTGTTCGCCACCGATTACGCACTGAGGCACGTTTGCGAGGTCGCTTAAATTGCTTGCTTGGCCCCGTCGCCGTTGCTCTGACGGTGGTTGAATGAGGAGTGGATAGCTGTGATTAAGCCAGATGGGTTGATAATGCCAGACCCGGCTGTTTTTTGTGTTCAGAAAGGAAACGCCAACTGAATAACGATCACTTGGGACATATTTGGTGATCGCAAGGCATAGGTCTTACCGATTTGCGATACCGTGGACTCAGGAACCGGCCATGCCAACGTCGGTGCTAGTATAATTGTGTTATCAGGCCATTTTCCCCGTATAAGAGGAGGTTACTTCAGGGTAGCAACTAAAACTAAGAAGCTCACGTCATGGAAGACCTGCTTGTTTAAGTTGGGAAGCGATCTAATACATAGGGATGATGTATTTGTAGAATGCATGCCTACCAGCTAACCGATCCTTTTCGCCTACTGGACCACCGAACCGTCGTTCTGTTGTCATTGATCAACGCTGCAGGACTTACTGCTATTCCATTAAACGTAGTGGATCCTTTGCCTTTCAGTTTAAATAGTGGCAAACCGGTTGGCGGACCAAGACCATACCTTCGAGCCCGATAGAATGGAGATCCTTGGAGTTGGTGACTGCCGCACAGCCCTCGGGCTGCCTCATTCTTCAGCCCAGCCGTGTCCCCGTAACACACTGTCAAGAACCAATGACATTAATAAGATTACTTGGTAAGGAACAGGAATAAGTACCACCCGCATTAACTTGTGGTTGGGGTTAGTGGCAGGGTTCAGGGTAAGGGGGCTAGAGTTGGGGTTAGTGTTCAGGTCAAAGTTAAGACGATCACTGGAAATGAATCTTAGAGTGAACATGTAGAACCTCACGTTTGCCGAGGATCCTGCACCCCAACTCCATAATCGAATTTGTCCAATTTTACAAAGCGATAGCTCATCGTCGTCGTCTGACCTGAGTATCCAGTGCCTGACGTTTAGATTACAAAGACTGCTTAAAGTTTGCATTCTCCACCCCGCACTAAACATCATTCATCTTTTTTGGATTTTCAACTTCATAAAACCGGTTTTTCTTCGCGTCTAGGCCGCAATTTAAGATGCCATTGTGTGTCTGCGCACTGCACTACTCCTCTTATGTTTATGGGCATTAGGCGCGACTCCTTCAATAACCTCCCCTCCTGGCTCGAAGACCTTCGCCAGTATGCCAATGAGAACGCGGTCATCATGCTGATTGGCAACAAGTGTGACTTGGAAGTGCAGCGGGCCGTCAGCACGGAGGAAGGTCAGGCATTTGCCCGAGAAAACGGCCTCCTCTTCATCGAAACCTCCGCTCGAATGGCCATCAACATTGAGAAGGCTTTTCTGCAGACTGCTGAAGAGATCTACTCGCGAATTCAGCAGGGGATCTTGGACGTAAATAATAAGGTGAATCGCCCCTTCAGTTCTCCTTATTAGAGACTCCTTTTTTTATGAAGCCCGGCATGGCTCTATAGTTTGTGTGGTGGGTAAAGTGCCGTGATGTTGGCGGTTGAGGAGTGTTGGCTGGCTGATGAAACTTATGCAGACCACAGTGGTTGTCAGTGGGGAGGCAGGTCCGACGCCTGCTACTTTTAGGTAAAAAATGCTGTAATTAGGAGGGGGTTAAAGTTAGTAGGCATGAGCAGCATTCGTGAGCTTAGGTTTGGAAATTCCTCTGAGTGCTTCTTCCAGTGCAGCGGATGTTGAGACCACCTACCGCTGGAGCAAGCAAGCGGTGGACTGAGGTCGCGTGGTTTGTGGTGTGGGAGTCCACTGATCAGCGGTGCAGCATTAGATTGGCGAGCTGGGCTCGGAGGTCTTCAGCCACAACTGTCCGGACCTAGACCATGCGTTTACAGCACGGGCAGGTATGCAGTCGTTCGACGTCCCACGACGAATTTTCATTTTGCTGTTGTTGTTTCGGTGTTGCGCCAGACCAACACGGAAACCTGACCGGTGCATGGCATGCGTTATTGGGTTGTGCACCAGACATGGTGGCACCCCCAGGCGCAGGCCCGTGCCGCGCCAGTCACTTTCCTCCAATCTCCGCACCACGTAGCTGACCGCCTTGGACAGTGGACTGATGCCTAGGAGGGGGGAGGGTGAAAGGTATCGACACTGAGGACCGCGTCTTCACGACATTCAGCGATGATTCCTCTGTGTAAAAAGTCTGACGCGCTTTCAAAATATCACGATGCACTAAAAGCCGTGGCTTGAGGGACTGCCAAATGACGGGATAATTAGGTCCTTCTCTCGGGACGGAGGGTCAGACTGCAATGGCTCCTTAATGTAGTTTCTATGATACTCCCACTCAGTTAGAATCCGAGTCATCCCCTTGTTGTTTTGCTGAAAACCTGGTCGATCGCGAGCGGCCTGACGTGTGGGGCACGCGTAGGCGAGCCGCTGCGCCCTATCCCACCTCCGTCCTTCTTGACTGTCTTGACACCAGACCCGGGTAGGTGGGGGAGGAGAGAGTGCGATATATGCAGTGCAAGCCTGTTGACACCGTAAACTGATTCACATGCAAGCCACCGTCACCGTATGCACCCTGCTTTCGGGGCAAACGGTGGATCTCATTGCTAGCGATGGCTGAATTGTCCTTTTTGATGTTCCCGTGCTCGCTAAGGTATTCCCTCTCACCTCTGTGCGAGTAGTGAATGTATGTTAACGGTGAGCGCTGGTGTACGATGTTGTCAGCGACGTTGGATTGGGCAGCTTTCGGAAAGATGTTGTCAGCCTTATGTGGTCGCTGCCTCGTTTTGGCTTCCTGAATTCTTTTGCCTAGAATGTTGTACCTATGCCCTTAACGGCCAGATCGGTGTGTTTCCTGACCCTGAGCCAGTCAGCCAGGCCTTCAAATTGATTCCAAATCATGCAACCTTGGTCTTGCCCCGATCTGTGGGGGTGTTTGTCAACATTACACCAGAAGGATCGATTTAGCAGGCGTTCGCCGGTCATCGTCATCTTAAAAACACGCAGAAACAGTCGCGACAAAATTTTTTTAAATATTGGATTTCCAAAGGGGGATTGTGTCTGTCGAAGTTCAGCTAGGCCACTTGCTACTTAGTGTAGTAGGCCCCAGTTTTCCAACCGAACCTGAAAAAAAACTTGTCTTGAGGACTTTACGCCGAGTTCAGGGGTTTATTTCTGAGGGTTGACAGCGGATGTGACCATACACCGGAAGGCATGCTAAGAAGGGCACTAATGAGCGAAAACCCTCGCTCCCTGTGTTAGGCAACAGCACAAAATCGGTAAGACATGCGCCTGGCCTTTTAAACACCTCGTGCTGGGAGTATGCTAGTTCAAGCTGCCCTTATCAGATAATTGTAAATACCTGATGTGATACGGTATTTTACTTATTTCCCCGCCCATCAATAAAAATAATTTCTTCATGCCTACTATTAATTTTTGAAATGTGTAATACTAGGTCATATTGTTTTGAATTAAATGCTGAAAGTAGTATTGCAGATTTATGCGTATACCCAGACAAAGTCATAAGATATATAAATTACGAATTTCTAAAGAATATTTAGCATTTCCAAATCTATAATAACGAAACCACCCTTTCTCAAATGTGGTAGGTACAGAAGAATTACTAGTCACTCGTCTCAAGTCAAAAAGTCACTACGTCTGCATAAGTACCAAAGGAGTAGGAAATTCCTCATCGGAGATCACTTTTCAGGCATTACACTTGGTACCCTAGAACCGCTCACAAGTGAAAATTCTCAGGCCACGAGAAATAAGAATAACAAGGCATTAATTTTTGTCATTGCAAACGTGTTTATACAACGGTTCCCATTTGAGTGAGCGCTTTCGCATTTAGTTCTGTAGTTCATTAGTTGCAGCATTCCGTATGAAGATGCGTGTTGGTATATCGCGTGTTGATTGCGAATTGTTTGCGCTCGCACACCTCGCGTGGAAAGTCATGTGCTGACCTAAAGTTTATCCGCCAGACAACGTTCGGCCTGTTCGTTCGCATTTCGTTTATAATTTAAGAAATGTCTAGGCTCCACGAGCGAGACTCGCATCGTCGGCGTCTACTAAAGAAAGGCCGAGAATTTTGTGAAGCCATACACTCAGCTGAGTCATGCATTAATCGCCGTATTGAGTTAGACGCCACGCCAGCCATACCAAACCCCGAAGTGTCGAACATCTGGGGCTCTATCACTCGACCTGTTGGTTAGAAGTCCAACACCTCTAACCAATGAGCCACGGGTTCGTTGTCATGTCGATTGTGATTGAGGATATACAATGGTAGAAGTGCGCTCACCGATAGTGTTACGAAACTCACTCGTCCCGTTGTGCCTTAGTCCTCTATCTCCCTCTCGAGTCCATCCAGTCTTCCTTTGTCTTTGTCGGCAATATTACTCTGCCTATATTACGCGCCGATCTGCGGCTGCTGGTTGGACTCGAGAGAGAGAGAGTCCCAAGGCACAGCGGGACAAGTGGGTTCCGTAACACAATCGGTGAGCGCCTCCTCTACCATCATATGTATATATATAATGATACAGGGGCGCTCCCCGATCGTTCTTACGGAACTCACTCGTCCTGTTGTGTCTTACAGGTTCTCTCTCGAGCCCAACCAGCAGCAGCACAGCGGCGCATGATATAGGCAGTATGTTACTACCAACAAAGACAAGGGAGACTGGAATGGGTATTTGTGGCTTATTAGCCGTCGTCAGCCAGTCATACCCAACCCCGAAGTGTGGAACACCTGGGGCTCGAACCCGTGACCTGTTAGCTAGAAGTCCACACCTCTAAACCTCAGTGTTGTGGTTAGGACCTTGCTAAATCTCATTCTCATCTCCCTGTTGCGCTCTTTGTGAGCTACTTACGTGCGCGTAGATGTGTATGGCAGTTGGTTATACCGTACTCCCGACTTAGGTACTAGCTAAAAGCTTAAACAAGTGCCTCGCCGGTGTTTCTGCTGCCACATGACGCAGCTGCGAGAGGCTTGGCTCCTCAGTAGCTACCCAAGCCTTATATATGTGTTCACTCAGGAATGGGCGCACACGATCCATTGGCTTCACGAAAAACCACATTCAGCAAAAAATCACTACTTTAGTAGGATTTTTCCACCGATTTTGGGTACCTTTGCAAATCCAAGTTTGTTTTACAAAAAGCATGCACAAAATACTCATACTCATGTGGTAGCAAATCACGGCTTCTTTAAATTTTATACTTGAAGAAGGGACGAATTGTAGTTTTAAAAAACTTTGTGGCTATGATATCTTTAAGACCGTGAAATATCTATTCATGCAGTATCGCATCTACACATTTATTAAGATTGTTTGTGCAGTGTACAACATGGGTAACTCAGCTACAAAGTTGTATTTACCGTTTAGGGTATATTCTTGATGGCATAGAGGAATGCATGATTTTACTTGCTCGAAAGTATGCGGCATGGAGTTTTTAGACCCTAAGAGCGAGTGCAGCTGCGGATCGGGTTATTTTTAAAGTCGAAAGACGCCCTTTCTTAGAGTATGTAAATGCGAAGACGTAATTTTCTGTCAAAAATATAAGGAGTGTTTCCCGTATGTTTGTCGTAAAATATATTTGAATTCATTACGGCATCAAAAATAACATGTAACTTAAGTAGCCATTTTTACCGAATGGAGTTTCTGTAGGCGACGAAAGAGAAACTTATTGTAAAGTTCCCGTCTTAGCGTGACTGCGGTATCTTTGGATTTTGTTGCATGATAATCCTACAACCCTACCTCTGTAGTCCTTTCTAATCGAAAACACATTCCGAAATTTCGGTACTGTAGTTAGTTGTGGGATTTGAGTGTTGAGAGTAAGCGGGCCAGAAGCTGCCATTCCAGTCCGTACTATCATAGTTGTGTCTTCTCGGAACCACAGCTGTTACTGTCTCTGGACTGTAATGCCTATAGTACGTGGTCCAAGCTTGTAGTTAAGAGTTCTGCATTTTCCATTATCTGCTTCTCTTCCAACTTGACAAAATTCTCTCACGATTTGGTCACCTCTCGTAGCTCCCGATCTGTTTTGCAAATAATCTGAAGCTCAGTTGAGTGCGTAACTCCTTATCAGAGCCCTCTTATTAACGTTTCCTTATCCGTGTCCTCAACCATTCTCTCCTTCATCCTGACAGGATAGTGGCATAAGGCTGGGACCGCAGGCTCTCCTGACCGCTCCTCAAAGCCTTCCCTCAACACTGCCTCGACCAAACCGAAATCGCAGATGTTGCTGACAGTACCCCTGCCTCTTTATGCCCGCACTTACCAGCTGGCTTTCATCTTGTGATGCTCTGCCCCCTCCCCCGGAGTGGGCTGGCGGAGACCAGCTACTTTTTTTTATCCATCTTACTCTTCCTGCGCAAATATTTTGTGGTTTTTTTTCTGACGAAAAAGACAACCAGCCAGTTTTATTACCATTCTTTCACTTTTCTGTCGCCTTGACCTCGCATATGTTGATTACTACTTTGAGCGCCGCCCGTCGTCTGATTGATTTTTTAGATGACTTTTATGCAAAAGCAGTATATCTTATATGCCTTTGATAACCGGCCTTCTTGCATTCCTTGTCCTCTTTTTCACAGTGACTTTATCTGATGTGATCTTTTCCAAGTCTGCACTAATGTCAGATTAGGCTTGAAGATGAAATGAGTTTCCTTCACCTATAATGGATTCTCTGCGTTATTCTCCTGGTGTTGGATGGTTTGCTTTTGTGTGCATTTCGTGTTCCCTACTTAGCGCAAGGCACTCATCAGCCCTATTCTGGTTGGCATTACGACCCCACAGTTCGGCTGAATTTTATTGCTGTCATCGAGCTGTCAGTTAAGAGTGAAAGGAATGGGCGTCAGTGTCCTCGCAACAATATGTGCATGTGTGAGGGAGAACGCTTCTTCTATGAAGTACATAAATTTTCCAGTGAAAAACATTAAACGTCACGATCCAACATACCCCAATAGTGCATATTTCGTTACTGCCAAACCAAACAGTTCCAGCAAAAAGTTTATTTCTCCCCAAAGATATAGTAGTATGAACAGTACATGGGTGTCATTTATTGGCACGAATAGACAAGAAATCTATTTGCAGTGGGCCGTTTCAGGTTGTTGTGGTAAGCGAAAAGGTATCCATGAGTGGAGAAACAGGGAAAAATATCGGTGCAGTTTTCAAGGCTTGTCAAAAATTATACCAGACACAAGCCCAAGTCTGCAGCTTGCCACTCACCATGTTTTTCTGGGGGGTTTAAATTTGGAGAAGTATGGTAAAGCCCTCATCACTCGAAGGCGGTCCGAGCCATCTGGGGATGAAAGCCTGGGCATCCCAGTCACGAGATCTTAAAATGACAGCAAAAATGCTTACTGAGAACGTTCAAGTAGATGTTTTACGGAGAGGGGATTATATCTTGGGGAGTGATGGGTTTGAGAGGACGTGACCTCGCCTGTTCAAGTCTGTCTTGCGCCAGCTCGCAACCAGTGGAATTTTAAGTGTAGGAAGGGTTTTGGACTCAAGAGAGAACAAGGTTACATGTGAACCCGAGACTTGTGTGAGCCGGGTCGAATATGCCGATTCCAAGACAGAGGTGGGTAGCCGGTGAAATTCGCGAGAGGATGCAGTTTCAGGCATTTGCAGCGGCTGAACCCTGTCTCCGACAATGCTAGCCAAAGATCCGACCGTTACTACTGATATGCTATACCAGCGAGACTCTTCGAGCATTCAACAACATTCCCTCCGGAAATGAACAATGCTCGAGGAAAAGGGTCAATATGTTAAGGAAATATTTCTAATACAGTGTTAATAACTATTGAACAAGTGGAATTCTTTTTTTCTGGATTAGGTTCCGGAGGCAAAATTTTTTGTTACAAGTATTTATGAAGTTAGCATTTGGTGAAAACCTTTCTCACGTCAACTGGTGCTTTGCAGTTCATCTCTATGAGTGACTAATTTTTCATGAAACTGTAATTTTTATCCGTAAATCTCATCGAAAAATGGTCTCCGAAAACCGCAGGTCAACGAACTATCTACAACACACTCCTCAAGTCACCCAGGTCACGCAAGTTTTGGATGGTTTTCTTCCAAAATTGGTTGGATTGGATGGTGTCATGAGCGATATTTATAGCAAGAAAAGCCGCACAAAACTTAACGCGCAACTGACAAGTTTGCAACCCCCTGAAGTCTGCCAGTTAGAATGTTTCCTACAGTTCGTGGTACGGACCTCAATGCTGATCTGGTTTTTGGCTGTGCCGCTCAGATTTTGGCGAATTATTGAGACGAGCAATACTGATTGGGTAGGGATTTCGCGTTATGCGAAACGAGTGTTCGGTTTTTTATGGCATTTTGCGTGCGCCTTGAACTGCCACCGATATGGCAGACGCGTAGCTTCATACCTAGCATACTTAACGACCATTAATTGTAAGTGATTGCGTCTAGAAACGATTTCACAATCATAAATTACCCTTGGCAAGCTCATCTCAAATTAAAGGTGTTTTGGCTCCGTTTCTCACAAACTGTTATAGAAATCTCCAGACATTAGAAATGTGTTCAATGCCAAACATCTACCACGGCTATCATGGCGTATATGAGGTTCGCCCTGCAAACACAGTCGACTACTTCAAAAACCGCTGACACAACTTCAGAAGGCTTAGAATTTACAACTAAGAGGAGTGGATTGCAGTCACAGACGAATGGTGCGTTGAACTAAACACGGATTCGTCTCCTTAGACGGTAAGATGGGAATAGTCTCTATTTTGCGTAGCTGACAGGCGTATATGTTGAAAATGTTTAGTATAAATCCCCACTTGGCGGTTGTTGTCTATACATGTTTACACAATTCCCCGGCTTGCGTTTACCCTTAGATTCCGTGTACTTGCTGCTGAAAATGAGTGAAGTTTGTTCTTACTGATTAAGCGATGCCCCACGTCCAGTTCTCTCTCTCACACAGAACTTCACAACAGGTGGAGGAAGTTTAGATCACTTGCGTAGCTCACTATTCGTCGCGATATATATTTGTTAGTTGCAATTCAGTAGTGGACGACTGTGGAACGTCTGGCCACCAAGTTGCAAAATCCACAAGAAAACACTGATTGCGGCCGCGTAGACCGAAGTTACTGGCCTTTAGAAACGAATATCACCAAGCTTTCTAAAAAAGTTTTACATTATCGGCCGTCTGCATAAAGTAACGAATGCGAGAACCCGCGACTGGTTAAAATATTCTCTGATGTCATTGTTAAACTGCCGCATGGCATGAAGCCGTATTTCGAATCAGGCGTAAAAAATATCGAAAATTACAATGCATTTCTACATGGTAGGGCGACGCGCACTGATGGCATCATGATAATCAGTCGTCTCGTCATGCCTTGGGTCTTCCTCTCTCTCGAGCCCAACCAGCATCGCACGGCAGCGCGTAATATAGGCAGAGTTACATTACCGACTAGAGATACTGGGCTGGCGGAGGCTCAAGAAAAGTCCTGAGACTCAACGAGACTAGTGAGTTCAGTAACGTGAACGTGCACGTCTCCCTACCATTATTAATATACCTGATCGCAACCGGTTGGAAAATGTGTCCGTGGCTCAGTGGTTAGGGCGTTGGACTTCAAGCAAACAGGTCGCGAGTTCAAGCCTCGGGGGTTGCCTATCGGGAGATTGGGTAGGGCTGGCGGATTGCGGCCAACAGGCCAAAAATTGCCATTCCAGTCTCCCTTGTCTTTGTAGGTTATGCTATTCTGCCTACATTTCTTCACATGTTCAAATCTCCAGACGCTGTCATATGCACTAAATAGTGCAGGAAATATTGAGTAAAATCTCAATAGAATAATCTAACAGGCAGTCTTTATACCGAAATTTACGGGTTAACTTTCCACTGCGGATCCCTCAAGCCGATGAAACGTTTGAAATGCTGTCTGTGCTTTCTGGCATCTTTATTTCGATGTTATACGGAAAAGACGCGTAAATATCCTCTCTTACACTATTTAGGTAGGAAATGTCGCCTTTCAGTCTCGCACATAGCCGTTATGTAAAGTAGTTTTAGAAAGCGCTCTACAATGCATATATTTTTTCTGACGCGACCGCATTCATTCTGTGTTCCCGACGTTCATAAACTACCTGGATCGTATCTTCTTTAGAGGTCCACTATGTCGATCTGTGTCGCCCTTGGTAGACAACCCAAGGAGGAAAACAGACTTGAAAAACTTACGAATATCGAGAGTAATCGATGGAACGTCACCGTTTCGAATATGGATAGGCGCTTCAAACCCGAATATCCCAAAGTTGAAAACGTCTAGGTTCAAGAGGGTAGATAACCTGCCAAAAGGCTGAAAGGAATTAACTGTGACCTAGTTCATTCCCTTAAAACACAACTGACTTCTCATAGGCACCAAAGCACTTACAGTAGCTGACACAACCCATGACACGCGATGGCCTACATGGGGGGCCCGAACGCTGCATACATTGCTAATGAACTTTGCGCGTCTCAAAAAGCCCTTTTTCTACGTTTTTTTGATCAATGAAAAAACTCACAGCTTTGAGACAAAAACCAACTTTGACATATATTCAGGCAATTGGCTGTAATATAAATTGTCTAGACCATACCCGCGCACCAGTGGATATTCCTATGATAGAGGACACCAATGTAATCGAAAGATGCTTATTAAACAAGCACCCATCCTCTACAAACTCGATTTTTCGATCCGCGTAAATCTGTTGAGGCAAGTTACTTTCAGAAAAATAATTCAGTTTCTTAGATAAATCCTCATTTGTCAGTCTGGGATCTTAAGTCCCGAAAAAGCAGTAATAACACTTATTTATCAGAGGTTTTCATTTGAGCAAGAGCAGGTTCGCTGCAGGCTTTCCTTCGTCGATTACCGTTCATGGTTGGGTGAGTCAATCAATACGGACCCAAACCGTCGTCAGAATAAAAAAACGACGTCCGAGAACGCACTACTAAGGTAAAAGCTTTCACATACTGTCTTATCCTGATGGTTTTGATAAATGGAGGCTCGACCGTCGCGACCGACGATATCCACCGCGTGCTCCACAGGAAGGTGAGATCAGGCACGGTGAATTGCGCGTGGATTAATTTATAGTTAGCCTAGACTTGCGCAGCGGCTACCGCACCCCCTCCTCGTCCCCATCTGGGACCGGTGTCAAGACGCAGTCAAGAAGACCAGAGGTGAGGGAGGGCGCAGAAGGCTGGCACGACCAGACTCGCACCTAGGTGTACCACCACACCCCCTGGTCCACAACAAACACG